TCGTAAAAGGAATTAAATATGAGACAGGAAATATGGTTAGAATTAATTAAGGATTATGATTGTGTTATCAATTATCATCCTGGCAAGGCTAATGTGGTGGCGGATGCTCTTAGTAGGAAGTCGGCTGTTGTTGGTTCAGAACAACAATCTTAGCTTGTAGACTTAAGTAGAATGGAAATTGAAGTGGTTTCTCAAGAAACAAAGGCTAAGCTTTCAGCTTTAGTGTTGCAGCCAAGTATCATGGATAAGATTAAGCAAAGCCAAGATTCAGATCCTTATTTGGTTCATATGAAAAAAAAGGTTCAAGCTGGAAAAAAGAATAACTTTCAAGTTTCTGATGAGGGTGTGATCTTTTGTGGTAATAGGCCGTGTGTGTCCAAAATTAAGGAATTAAAGAAGGAGATTTTAGACGAGGCTCATTCATCTCCTTACTTAGTTCATCCGGGGAGCACTAAAATGTATAAGGATTTGAGACTCCATTTTTGGTGGCCAAAGATGAAGTACACAGTAGCAAAGTATGTTAAAAAATGTCTCACTTGTCAGCAAGTCAAGATAGAATATCAGAAGCCTTTAGGGAAGTTGAAACCACTTTTTATTCCAGAATGGAAATGAGAGCATGTTACTATGGATTTTGTCATAGGATTGCCAAGGACACAGAAGAAGTTTAATGCTATTTGGGTTATTGTAGATTGACTTACAAAGTCTGCTCATTTTCTTCCAATACGGAATACTTTCAGTATGGATCAGTATGCATAGCTTTATATCGAAGAGATTATCAGGCTTCATGGTTCAACTGTATCCATTATTTCTGATCGTGACCCAAAATTCACTTCAAAATTTTGGAAAAGTTTGCATTTAGCTACAGGAACGTGCTTGTCTTTTAGCACAACTTATCATCCTCAAACCGATAGGCAGTCAGAAAGAACTATCTAGACTCCAAAAGACATGCTTAGAGCTTGTGTTCTTGATTTTTTGACTTCATGGGATAAAAAGCTAGCTTTAGTTGAGTTCTCCTATAATAATAGTTATCATTTGACTATTGGTATGGCTTCATACGAGGCGTTGTATGGTAGCAAGTGCAAATCTCCAATTCATTGGAATGAGGTTGGAGAAAGAAAAATCTTGGGTCCAAAATTGGTTCAGAAAACAGTTGATGTTATTGGCAAGATTAAAAAAAGGATGAAAGCAGCTCAAAGTTGACAGAAGAGTTATGCCGATAAGCGTAGAAAAGATCTTGAATTTAAAGTTGGTGACAAGGTCTTTCCTAAAGTTGCTCCAATGAAGGGAGTTATGAGATTTGGTTAACTTGCTTATGAGTTAGCTCTTCCACCATCATTGTCTGGTATTCATGGTACATTTCATGTTTCTATTCTCCAGTAGTATATAGCTGATCCATCTCATGTTTTGAAGTATGAAGCTTTAGAGTTGAAACCAAATTTGTCATACGAAGAAAAACTAGTTCAAATTCTTGATAAAAGACCGAAGGAATTAAGAAACAAGAGCATTCCTTTGGTCAAGGTCATTGGAGAAATCAATTAGTAGAGGAAGCTACTTGGGAAAAAGAGGATGAGATGAAGATCAAGTATCCAGAACTTTTTGGTAAGTTAAATTTTGAGGACGAAATTTGTTAAGGAGGGGAGAATTGTAATACCCGAGATTTAATTAAGCCTTAAGCCAATAATAAATAAATTTAGTAAATTAAAATCATGCACCACATTTACTGTTTGTCTCAAAGTTATTTGTTGGCATTATATTTTATTACTATAGCTATCATATGATTTTATTAAACTTATAGCTTTGCTAATTGAGTTTTCAGTTTTAACGTGCAGTGCAACTAGCTCGTGTGGGAACTCAATATGCTAAACTTATGAAGAAAAAATGATATTTATTATGATTATTTGATATGACATTTTACCTTTATTATGATTGATTTAATGATGAATTATTATTTTATATTTTATTATATCATTTTATGTAAATGTGTTGAGGACTTAATTATTATTTTGAGTTTTTGTGAGAGAATGATATGTTAGCAATTTGAGAGAACTTTAGGCACCTAATTGAAGAAGAAAAATAGAAACTTTAGAGCTAATTTTATGAGGTTAGGACAGCTGTTAGATGCTTAGAAAAACCTAGACACTTGTCCTACTATAAGGTCACTTTACTTTTGCTTGGTTTCTATCAAGTTTAGACTTCATTTTTGGGTCTATTTTAGCAAAAAACCCTAGAACTCCGACCATAGCACTTTCTTCTCTCTTCTCACTCCTTTTCTTACCAAAAACTCAGAATCAAACCTAGGTTTTCAAGAGAGAATGAGCTAAAAACTCAACCAGCCCATTTCAACTCTTTTTTCAACCTAAAACCAAAAATAACTATCAAGGTTTTAAGCTTCTATTCACTTGGAAACGAGTTTTTCTTTGAGGTAACTTCTTTCTTATGTTAGAAACTAAGATTTCAGAGATTAAGATGTTGAAATCCTACTTGAGATTCAGATTTTTGATGTGACTTTGTATATTGGTTGTAGACCCTTAAAAATGAGTTTCTTGAGGTTTTGGTTCAAATATTAGTTTCTGGGTGAAATTAATGATTTTAGCTTGATATTATTGATGATTATTTGAAGATAAACTCTTATTAGGATGATGATTCATGTATTTGAGAGTGGGTCTTTAAAGATTAAGATCTACATGCTAGGTATTTGATCGAATGTTCAAATATAAGTCCTCTGTACAGCTTATGTAGATTATGTTTTCATGCTATATATATTTATGATTTTGGCTGATCTTATATTTTTCTATTAAATTATACATCTCAAGCTTTACGTGAGTTTTTGAATCACTCTAAACGGTTTTTTTTTTTTTTTTTTTTTTTTTTTTTTTTTTTTTTTTTACATTTACGTATGAATTTTATTATTTCAGCTAAAAAGCTATCATTTTTCTGACGAGATTTTACTTCAATCTGGATTTCGGGTTGTTTTTTGTTAGTTTGAAAAATCTGGTCTCATAATATTTTGAGTTTTGATGAATTTGTTATGAATATTTTTAGAACAATGCACAGTTATGTGTTTTGTTAAATGATGATATGATCTGATTTTTAAAAGCTATAGTTTTTAAAGGTTAATTAGCACATTAAAGGCTCCCCACAACCAGCTAGTTTGTGCTTGCAAAGTGGTGATCAAAATTCAGGTAAGTAGAGTTAAAGCATTTTCAAAACTGTATCACAAGACCTATTTGACGAAATAACTTGTTCAGAATTGTGATTATGAAAGTTTATTCTCTAATGAAATTCTTATATGATTATGTTCAAAGAGTATTCATGATTAATTATTTTGAAAGAGATTGTGATATTTGCTTATTATGTTTTTATGTTTTAAGAGATTTTATGGTATGGTATATGGATGAGAGGCTGGGTAAGCAGGGGTGCGAGGGACCGGTGCCCACATTAGAGTAACTGTCTCTTTGAGACAACTAGAGAAAAATGATAGTGGGAAGTCTCTTGTTGATCACAAGAGAAAGAGATTCTAAAAACGCCACTTAGTGTCTAAGAGAAGAGAATTGGCCAAAATTAGAGAAAGTCCTGTATAGAGAGGCTTACTTGGAACCGAAGTTTTGTATCATACCTAAACTAAGAATAAGTATGAAAGTTTATGAACAATATTTAACAAAGAGATTTTAGGCATAAAGATTTTAGATACTTACTTTATTTGAAATCTACTTACTAAGTTTTTGCTTATTAGTTTTACCTTGTGATGCAAATGATGTTGTTGTTACCGAAGAGTAAAAAATGATTTCCAAGGTTGGCTTAGTACTCCAAGTCCTACATCTGCCAGCTTGCTTATATGTACTTCCAAACAATAGATGGCCAAAATTAGAGAAGGTCCTGTTTTTTTTTTTTTTTTTTTTTTTTTTGTTACTATGTCACTTTTGAATAACTGTTTAATGTCTAAGATTTGTGGTTGTAATAATTTTGCGCACTGACTCATTTTGTTCAAAAACTTTTAAGAAAATTTTGTGATGAAATCAATCACAAGTTTCTGCATCTTAAAAATGACGTTGTTTTAAGTATAGAAAGTATGTTTTAAGTAGCATCACCTCGCTAAATTTGGCCTTAGACCGGTTTAGCGTTAAGGGCGTTACAATATTCTACTAGCTTAAAGAATTTGGTGTGGTGAAAGACTTGAATAATCTTTGAATGAAGATGCATGATTGTCACACATTGATGCAACAATTGTTGCCACTTGTTTTGTGTGGAATTCTAACAAAGGAGGTTAGATATGCACTTACCAAATTTTTTTTTCTTCAATTGCATATGCTCGAAGGTAGTAGATTCAATGATGTTGGATATAATACAATCAGAGTTGGTAAATACCTTGAGCATACTTGAGAAGTACTTTAAGTTACCATTAATATTTGTAATATATAATTGACTGAAAACAGAGAATTGTGAGGCCAAATAACACACGCGATATAGGCCACATGTGGGAAAAACTATAAAATATGCATAATTTTTTTAATAATGCAACCACATATAACTCCGTCATTGAACATACACATTAGACGACAGTTTAATGGAAAACCATCGTCTAATGTTGATCTGATGCCGTCAAATTTGACATAGAGTGCCATGTTAGACGACAGTTAAATGGAAAACCTTCGTGTAATATCGATATTTAACAATGGTTTTTTACTATCATAAAAGACCGTCAACATTTTATGACTTCGAATATGATGGCGGTTCGCCTAACTGTAGTCGAATTGTTTAACGACGGTTTCTAGTGATTGCTAAGATAGCAAATTCAAGTTAAGCTTTCTTTAAGGCAGGTATAAAAGTGCATTCTGATTTCCAAACTAAATCATTTAAAGCAAGTTCCCTTAAAAAAATAATAATAATAATATAAAGCAGGTTGATTTTTGTGTCAATAATTGGTGGCTGCTATTGGCTAGCACGTAATTTAAATCTCCAAAAAAAATCCAACGAAAGCTTGTGTCAAAAACTTCTGTCAATTCATCCATAATGCCCTTTGGCCGCACATGGCCCCATCAAGAAACTGCACTTATTTATTCTTATCAACTTTCCTAAGAACCAATAGCTTGCTTCCTAGCACTGCCTAACAACACAAAAAAGCCACAAAAATGGACGCCTTGTCTTCCTCCTTCCTCTCCACATTTTCCACCAAAAAAAATCTCCGGCGACAAACCTTGCCTCCTAAACCAACCATCATAACAAATGTTAGAATTGAAGAAAAACCCTCTTCTACTACTACCACCACTACTTCTACCACACCAAAAACCACACCACCACGCACTACAAAGCCCCAATCATCGTCGTCGTCGTCGCTGCGTAATGTTACTGCTATAAGAAGGCGGGTAACTTCTCCGACACTGCCCGGAATGATCTTCAACGCTTTTGATGACATCATCAACAACTTTATAGACCCTCCTCTTCGCTCCTCAGTCGACCCGAAGCTCGTCCTGTCTGACAATTTCGCTCCGGTCACCGACGAGCTCCCCCCCACCGAATGCACCATCACTCACGGCTCCCTCCCTCCTTGCCTCGACGGCGCCTACATCCGCAACGGCCCAAACCCGCAGTTCCTCCCCCGTGGGCCCTACCATCTCTTCGATGGCGACGGCATGATCCACTCCTTAAGAATCCGCCAAAAAAAACCGCCCATTCTCTGCAGCCGCTACGTCAAGACTTACAAATTCTCCGTGGAAAAAGAAGCCGGACATCCGGTTCTCCCCAACGTCTTCTCGGGGTTCAACGGCGTCGTTCCCTCGGCGGCCCGTGGCGCTCTCTCCGCTGCTAGAATATTCATCGGCCAGTACAACCCCGCCAACGGAATCGGCCTCGCCAACACCAGCCTCGCCTTCTTCGCCGACCGCCTTTTCGCGCTCGGCGAGTCAGATCTTCCCTACGAGGTTAGAGTTACGCCCGAAGGAGATATACAAACCATTGGTCGCCATGATTTCGACGGCAAGCTTTCCATGAGCATGACTGCTCACCCCAAGATAGATCCTAATACCGGCGAGGCCTTCGCGTTTCGATACGGCCCAATCCCGCCTTTTCTCACGTACTTCTACTTCGATAAAAACGGGGAGAAGCAGCCGGACGTGCCGATATTCTCCATGTCGCGTCCTTCGTTCCTCCACGACTTCGCGATCACGAAGAAGTACGCGGTGTTTGCAGACATACAGATTGGGATGAACCCGATGGAGATGATCGTTGGAGGAGGGTCTCCGGTGGGGTCGGACCCGTCGAAAGTGTCGAGGCTGGGAGTGCTTCCTCGCTATGCGAAGGACGAGGGGGAGATTAGGTGGTTTGACGTGCCGGGATTCAACATCGTCCATGCGATCAATGCGTGGGACGAGGATGACGCGGTGGTGATGGTGGCGCCGAATATTCTTTCCGTCGAGCACACGCTCGAGAGGATGGAGCTCGTCCATGGACTGGTCGAGAAGGTGAGGATTGATCTGAAGAGCGGGATCGTTTCCAGGAGTCCCATGTCGGCGAGCAATCTCGACTTCGGGGTCATAAATCCGGCCTACGTCGGGAGGAGGAACAGGTAAGCAGTGGTGGAGTCAGAGTAGGAGCCACCACTGACCTCAGTTAATAATTGAAAGGGTTATTAGTATTATTTGTCTCTGAATTTTGAGTAATCATGTTATGATCACAAAATAACTCAAATTTTAAAAAATAAAGTTATCAATGCAAAATGTTCTAATTCTGTTTTCCTCAACCAAAAAAAAAAAAAAAGTTCTGATTTTTAACGATTTTTAACAATAATAAAGAGATATTTTGCTCTTAATATGACTATTTAATTTTTATAAAAATTTCAATTATTATGCTACTCAGACGTGGTTTTTTTTTTTTTTTTTTTTTTTTTTTTTTTTTTTTTTTTTTTTTTTTTTTTGCAATATTTTCCGAAATCTGTTGTTGGAAATAATTTCTAGGTTGGGAACTAAAACGGTCAAAAACAAAATAAAAGTTTATAAATTAGTTTGTCAATTTAAAAGTTGAGAAATCAAAGTGACATAAAAATCATAATTTTCAGGAATGAAGGATAGTAATAACCCTAAATAAAATACATAACATTTTCTTTTTTCAGTAGACAAATTATCTCTGATTTTATTGGCTATGCCACTGCAGATATGTCTATGCGGCGATCGGGGATCCAATGCCAAAGATTGCGGGGGTGGTCAAGCTGGATCTGGAGGCAGCAGACGATCAGCGAAGGGGAGAATGTACGGTGGCAAGGAGGATGTTTGGCGACGGGTGCTACGGCGGGGAGCCCTTTTTTGTGGCGAAAGACGTAGCAGAGGAAGAGGACGACGGTTACGTGGTGTCATACGTGCACAATGAGAAGTCGGGAGAGTCAACTTTCTGGGTGATGGACGCCAAGTCACCCGAGCTTGACATTGTGGCTGAAGTCAAGTTGCCCCGTCGAGTGCCTTATGGTTTCCACGGCCTCTTCGTCAAGGAAACGAACCTTAGAAAGCGAGCATAGCTGGTAGTGAAACTGACAATAAATAAATTTAGTCGGTTATTTGTAATTAAAAATACAACTATTGACTATATAACCATCTTAAAGAAAACATTTTAAAAATTAGAACAAGCAAAGATTCTGGGAAGACACGGATGACTTAGTGTGTCGCATAGGCAATGAGGATAATATTTTCATTGGAGGCGATGCTAGAAGCAATGCTGAATAGCTGAGGTAGTTGCTACCGTGCAATTAAGTGAAGATTGTGAACATTACTCTCATATACAAATGTAAGAATTGTAAATTCTGTAAACTTTGAACTTTAGATTTCTAGACCGTGGTTGATGTCTGTAATGTTATTTACATGTTCATGTATGTACAATACTGCATATTCTGTTGGTGAAATCCTGAACGATGCCGGAGGCTTAGTTTTCAAACCTCTTTTATCAGAAAGTGTGAAGGTCCCCACCACTTTCTTGTAATTTAATTTCCATAAACATGTGGGGCTTGTTTGGAAATTTCTTTTATAGTTTACTTTTGATTTTGATTAATATGCTTCTTAATGTCTAATTACTTTCCTAATTATGTTTAACTTCCAAACGAGCCTCCACGTCACTAACCCCTGCCGCGTGGCATGACAGTATTAATAATGTTTTAATTAAAGATTCTAAACTTTAATTAAATTTATTACAAACACCATTTTGATTAATATCCTTAAACATTATCCTCTTGCATATAACACTTATATACAACGTTTTAGGTCACATAAATAATAATGGAATTTTCATATAGATTCATAAAATATTCATAAATATATGCACATAAAATAATGAATAAGCTATTTTGTTAAATAAATAATGAATATCCTATTACATCTCATGCTTCTAGAATATTATTCCCAATAATCTCTCACTTGTCGTAGAGCAGGTAGAATATGTCTCTAATCCTGAAACTTTCTAGGTGTCTATGACTGATCTATGCCTAGAACAACTTTTAGATCAGTTAAGAATTTATGGAGTCAGGTTGTTTTCTTTTGGTGCTTCACAAGCTGCAACACATTAATTCTTAATGATAGAATTAGCAATCACATTTTGCCAACAACCTTGGTATTGGATCTTCGTTTCTACCAATTCTTGGTATGGAGAATTTTTGTGAAAATATGGATGAAACCCTAGAATCATGATGATAAAATTGAATGAGAAAGAATGGGGTTTGTGTTTAAAGATGGAAACAACGAATAAAATGAGCAATGATTAGCTTGAGAAATGCAGAAAATTAGGCAGAACTATGTTGAAATTTAGTTTGGGACTTTAAGTTAAAACTGGTTTTCATAAGGAATAGGAGGATTAAAATGTGAAAAGTAAGTCGATTCGATGATCGGAGATGTATAGAAATCTAAAACGATGAAAATTCTCAGTTTCGGACTAAAATCAAAAGCTAGGCTATTGACCTGAAAATTTGAATCTAGCATTGTTTTGGGTTAGAAAACTAAGATAAGAGCTTAGTTTCAAAAAGTGACCTACAAAAAGTTGAAGGAAATTCCATTCCGAACAACTTTTGTGAAATAACATTTTTCTCAAAAACGATCCTAGACATCAGTTTCGGGCTAATTTCTTGAATAGGTCCAAAATGTGATTTAAGGTAAAAGTGCACGGGTTTGGTGCAAATTGATGATATAGGTGATGTTTTAGTTTGGATACCGAACATGAAATCATAGATCTCTTTAAGGATTTTAAAAATGGCATACGCACTTTAAGAAAATAACATTTATGAAACCACAAATTCGGATCAAATTGTGTTTCAATTACTGATCTTAAATTGTAAATCTAATAATCGGAAATTTATATGATAGGACCAATAGGCGATCAAGGAAGCAAGGTTTCTAAAGACTTAAAACCCGTGACCTTAGCAGAACTCCTATAATTACAGTAGTTTTTCTATGTCTATACCACGAACAAGACTATTTCTGTCATGACCGGGAACTCTATCAGAATTATTGTATAAGATAAAATTTCCTGAAATCTTTTGTATTATCAATATGAATACTTTTATGATAAGTACTTGTTGACAATAGTACTAAATAGCAAGTTATAAGTTAAAAATCATAAATTTCTGAATTGCGATGCAGTGACAAATTTTCAGACTATATTTAAGAAAGAAGTATGGAATGATGTGATAAACCCACAAGTGGGTAAACACATGAATGTTAAGGTTAAGAAATAAAAAAAAATTTAAAGACATCAATTCTAGGGTTTTAGAAACAATCAGAACGAGAAATGGACGAAAAAAGGGGTTCGGAAGGCCGAACCACGTAAATTGGGGTTTCGACTGATTTAAGTTTATCGAGTCAAATTTTGTTGACCAAGAGTAGACCAATAGTTCGCCCTCGAAAAGTTAGTCAAGAATGGTCAAGGTTGACTAAGTTGACCAACTATCCGAAAAACGTAAAAAAAAAAAAAAAAAACACGCGTCGGACAGGAAATTAAGCTGACCAAAGTAGGATAATTATTAAAGCAATCAGTGGTTCAGATTTAAAGTGATTAATGGATGGATGGATGAGATTGTGATACATGGAAAGTGGGATGAAGGAGGTGGCCGACCAAAGACTTAACGGAGAAGGAAACTTTGACTTTTCTTGCAAAAAGGCCCTTCGAAAATGTCAAAATTTCATTTTAGTACCCCCTAGCTTTTGATGGTCGGCTCTTAAAGGAAAAACACAAAGGAAATTTCCATTTCTCATGCAAAAAAAAAAAAAAAAATAGAGAGCACCAGCCAAAGAGGAAGAAAGAAATAAAATGCACCAAAGTAAGGAAAAACAATATTTAAGCAGAAATCGACGAAGTTACCGAGGAATAGCATATCTGAAGCTTATTCTTCATTCTCTAAGGTGAGATTTCAAGGTTTTCCTCTCATTTCCTCACCATGGCTGCACGTGGAGTATAGGGAAAGCATGGAAATTTCTTTTACTTAGAATGATGATTTGCTTGTAAAGGTTAAAGAACATGAAAATCTAGTGAATTAAGGATGGATTCTTGTTATGGAGAATTTTTGTCAAAATATGGAGGAAACCCTAGAATTGGGATTTTATTGATGATAAATGGAATGGAAAAGAATGTGGTTTGTGTTTGAAGGTGGAAACAACAGATAAAACAAGATAAAGTTAGCTTGGGAAACATAGAAAAATAGGCGGAACTCTGCCGAAATTTAGTTTGAGCATTTGAACTAAAATTGATTTTCATAAGGAATAAGGGATTAAGACATGAAAAGTAAGTCGATTCAATAATTGGAGATGTATAAAAACCTAAAACGATGAAAAATTTTCAGTTTTGGACTAAAACTGAAAACTAAGTTTTGATTTGAGAAAGTGTACCCGGTGCTGTTTTGGGTTAGTAAACGAAGATAAAAGCTTAGTTTCAAAAAGGTGACAAACACTAAGTCAAAGGAAATTTCATTCCGAACAAGTTTTTTGAAACAATGTTTTCTCAAAAATGACCAAAAATGACCCTAGACATCAGTTTCGGGCTAATTTCCGAAATAGGTCCAAAATGTGATCTAAGGTAAAAAGCGCACGGGTTTGTGCACATTGTCGAGATAGGAAATATTTTGGATCGGATACCGAACATTAGGATTGTAAACCTTTTTGAATTAAATTATATTGTAATTATTGATCTTAGATTTTGAATATAACGATCGGTAATTTATGCAATAGGATTGATTAACGATCAAAGTTGGAAAGCATCAAGTGAGACAAATGACGCAACATTAGCAAAACTTCTGTAAGTGTCAGTAGTTTCTCTTGTTTATGACACAAATAAACTTATTCCTCTATGTTGCTCAAATCTGAGCATATTGTAGACTCAATGTATGCTAGAATGTAAAAGATGTTTCCTGAATGTTAGATACGATGTTATGTATGTATTTACAAGACTTAAGTAGCATTAGAACTTTATTTTTCAAAAAGTACGTATCGATGTCAAGTCAAGGTCAAGTCAACAAAAAAAGTTAAACTTTTACGAAAAGTCAATTCATGCTAAATTGATCAGAAATGCACAAAATCCTAAGATTTAACCAAAGATAGTGTCTTAATGAGAAAGTTGACAAACGGTAAGAAATCAAACATCCTGTTTGTACCAGCCTTCGAAGGAAAAGTTATTATGATTATGAATGAAATGAAACTATGAGTAAGTTAGTTTTAGTTAGCTACCCTACTCCTCACTGGTTATGCGCGCTATGGTATAACATGATAGGCCCATAAGAAGTAAAAGACAAGAAAATGTAAAACATTAACCGTTCCATATGAGAGTACGGTATTCGTAAAAAAGAATGAAAAGAAAGAAAAACACAATTTGAATGTCGATCAGAACGTGAGAATATAATATGAACGATTAAAAAGAGACAAAAGCTTAACAAAGTATGTAATGAAAGAAGAAGAGCATAAGCGATATACGTTCTAGAAGTATAGAATGTCTTAGGATATATGACATGAATGCATATTTGGGTATGCATAATTGTTTGCATTTATTATGACCTACCGTTACTTGTTGAGCGAAAGCTCATTAAGTTTGTTCGTGTTATAGGAAGCTCGGGTAAGGCACTGATTAACGCCCAAAAGTGATATTCACAAGCGGTTAATTGTAGCACAGAAGGGCGGTCGTATCCACAGAGAGATAACAAAATAACAAGAAAGACTAACAGAATAAGAGCGTTAGAGAAAAGTGAATTAAAGAAAAAGAATAGTTTTTGAGATTTTGTTGTAAATAAAATAGAAAGGAGGGAATTTGAATGAAGAAAATGGTAAGGTATCGAGAATCCCTAATGCTTCGTTCACCAATTCAAGTTTTGATTCACAAAATTAAATAATCGAATAAATTAAATCTCTATGTTGGCTCAGAAAATATTATTATTACAAGTTATCTAAAATCGACAATATATCAATTTGACAATATTGCAATAAAAGACAATTTGTAAAATAATTAGAATGACAAAACAATGCGTGACATAATTACATAAGAAAAGCGTGACTGAACTTATATAAAAATTGGCACACAATATTTTGAAAAGTAATAGAAAAATAGATGAGATTTAATTCATTCAGATGTTGAAGTTTACAGAACAAGGAATCAAAACCCCGAATTGGGTCACTCAACAGAAGTTCATCTCTAACCTCACCAAGAAAACTCTAACCTATCTTGCAAAACATTCTCACAAGTTCTAGAGAGAAAATATGAGATTGACAGCAAGACGACAGAAAACTGAATATTCAAAGCTTCTAAAAACCTTAGGCTAACCCCTCTATTTATAGTGTTCAGAGGCTGCCTGTCAAATAAGAAAATAAATAGTAAAACTAGAAAATTACAAAAGAAAAGGAAACAAAATAAAATTACACATAAATTAGGAGAAATCACATATTTGATTTAGGGAAGAAATCTGGTAATTT